GTAAGTCTCTAACCTGTCTGTCTCTAACATGTCTGTCTCTCTGCCTGTCTGTCTCTAACATGTCTGTCTCTCTGCCTGTCTGTCTCTAACTTGTCTGTCTCTCTAACCTGTCTCTAACCTGTCTGCCTCTAACCTGTCTCTCTAACCTGTCTGTCTCTAACCTGTCTATCTGTAACCCGTCTGTCTCTCTAACCTGTCTGTCTCTAACCTGTCTGTCTCTAACCTGTTTGTCTCTCTGCCTGTCTGTCTCTCTAACCTCTCTGTCTCTAACCTGTCTCTCTAACCTGTCTGTCTCTCTGCCTGTCTGTGTCTAACCTGTCTGTCTAACCTGTCTGGCTCTAACCTGTCTGGCTCTAACCTGTCTGTCTCTCTGCCTGTCTGGCTCTAACCTGTGTCTCTAACCTGTCTGTCTCTAACCTGTCTGTCTCTAACCTGTCTGTCTCTCTGCCTGTCTAGCTCTAACCTGTCTGTCTCTAACCTGTTTGTCTCTCTGCCTGTCTGTCTCTTACCTGTCTCTCTAACCTGTCTGTCTCTAACCTGTCTATCTGTAACCCGTCTGTCTCTCTAACCTGTCTTTCTCTAACCTGTCTGTCTCTAACCTGTTTGTCTCTCTGCCTGTCTGTCTCTTACCTGTCTCTCTAACCTGTCTGTCTCTAACCTGTCTATCTGTAACCCGTCTGTCTCTCTAACCTGTTTGTCTCTAACCTGTCTGTCTCTAACATGTTTGTCTCTCTGCCTGCCTGTCTCTCTAACCTCTCTGTCTCTAACCTGTCTCTCTAACCTGTCTGTCTCTCTGCCTGTCTGTGTCTAACCTGTCTCTCTGCCTGTCTGTCTCTTACCTGTCTCTCTGCCTGTCTGTCTCTTACCTGTCTCTCTAACCTGTCTGTCTCTAACCTGTCTCTCTAACCTGTCTGTCTCTAACCCGTCTGTCTGTCTAACCTGTCTGTCTCTAACCTGTCTGGCTCTAACCTGTCTGGCTCTAACCCGTCTGTCTGTCTAACCTGTCTGTCTCTAATCTGTCTGTCTCTCTGCCTGTCTGGCTCTAACCTGTCTGTCTCTAACCTGTTTGTCTCTCTGCCTGTCTGTCTCTCTAACCTCTCTGTCTCTAACCTGTCTCTCTAACCTGTCTCTCTAACCTGTCTGTCTCTCTGCCTGTCTGTGTCTAACCTGTCTGTCTAACCTGTCTCTCTAACCTGTCTCTCTAACCTGTCTGTCTCTCTGCCTGTCTGTCTATTACCTGTCTCTCTAACCTGTCTGTCTCTAACCCGTCTGTCTGTCTAACCTGTCTCTCTAACCTGTCTGTCTCTCTGCCTGTCTGTCTCTAACCCGTCTGTCTTTCTAACCTGTCTCTCCAACCTGTCTGTCTCTCTGCCTGTCTGCCTCTAACCTGTCTCTCTAACATGTCTGTCTCTAACCTGTCTGTCTCTCTGCCTGTCTGTCTCTAACCTATCTGTCTCTCTTCCTGTCTGTCTCTAACCTGTCTCTCTAACCTGTCTGTCTGTCTCTAACCCGTCTGTCTGTCTAACCTGTCTGTCTCTAACCTGTCTGTCTCTCTGCCTGTCTGGCTCTAACCTGTCTGTCTCTAACCTGTCTGTCTCTAACCTGTTTGTCTCTCTGCCTGTCTGTCTCTCTAACCTCTCTGTCTCTAACCTGTCTCTCTAACCTGTCTGTCTCTCTGCCTGTCTGTGTCTAACCTGTCTGTCTAACCTGTCTGTCTCTCTGCCTGTCTGTGTCTAACCTGTCTGTCTAACCTGTCTGGCTCTAACCTGTCTGGCTCTAACCTGTCTGTCTCTCTGCCTGTCTGGCTCTAACCTGTGTCTCTAACCTGTCTGCCTCTAACCTGTCTGGCTGTAACCTGTCTGTCTCTCTGCCTGTCTGGCTCTAACCTGTGTCTCTAACCTGTCTGTCTCTAACATGTCTGTCTCTGACCTGTCTGTCTGTAACCCGTCTGTCTCTGACCCGTCTGTCTGTAACCTGTCTGTCTCTCTAAGCTGTAAGTCTCTAACCTGTCTGTCTCTAACATGTCTGTCTCTCTGCCTGTCTGTCTCTAACATGTCTGTCTCTCTGCCTGTCTGTCTCTAACTTGTCTGTCTCTAACCTGTCTCTAACCTGTCTGCCTCTAACCTGTCTCTCTAACCTGTCTGTCTCTAACCTGTCTATCTGTAACCCGTCTGTCTCTCTAACCTGTCTGTCTCTAACCTGTCTGTCTCTAACCTGTTTGTCTCTCTGCCTGTCTGTCTCTCTAACCTCTCTGTCTCTAACTTGTCTCTCTAACCTGTCTGTCTCTCTGCCTGTCTGTGTCTAACCTGTCTGTCTAACCTGTCTGGCTCTAACCTGTCTGTCTCTCTGCCTGTCTGGCTCTAACCTGTGTCTCTAACCTGTCTGCCTCTAACCTGTCTGGCTGTAACCTGTCTGTCTCTCTGCCTGTCTGGCTCTAACCTGTGTCTCTAACCTGTCTGTCTCTAACATGTCTGTCTCTGACCTGTCTGTCTGTAACCCGTCTGTCTCTGACCCGTCTGTCTGTAACCTGTCTGTCTCTCTAAGCTGTAAGTCTCTAACCTGTCTGTCTCTAACATGTCTGTCTCTCTGCCTGTCTGTCTCTAACATGTCTGTCTCTCTGCCTGTCTGTCTCTAACTTGTCTGTCTCTCTAACCTGTCTCTAACCTGTCTGCCTCTAACCTGTCTCTCTAACCTGTCTGTCTCTAACCTGTCTATCGGTAACCCGTCTGTCTCTCTAACCTGTCTGTCTCTAACCTGTCTGTCTCTAACCTGTTTGTCTCTCTGCCTGTCTGTCTCTCTAACCTCTCTGTCTCTAACCTGTCTCTCTAACCTGTCTGTCTCTCTGCCTGTCTGTGTCTAACCTGTCTGTCTAACCTGTCTGGCTCTAACCTGTCTGTCTCTCTGCCTGTCTGGCTCTAACCTGTGTCTCTAACCTGTCTGCCTCTAACCTGTCTGTCTCTAACCTGTCTGTCTCTCTGCCTGTCTAGCTCTAACCTGTCTGTCTCTAACCTGTTTGTCTCTCTGCCTGTCTGTCTCTTACCTGTCTCTCTAACCTGTCTGTCTCTAACCTGTCTATCTGTAACCCGTCTGTCTCTCTAACCTGTCTGTCTCTAACCTGTCTCTCTAACCTGTCTGTCTCTCTGCCTGTCTGTCTCTTACCTGTCTCTCTAACCTGTCTGTCTCTAACCTGTCTATCTGTAACCCGTCTGTCTCTCTAACCTGTTTGTCTCTAACCTGTCTGTCTCTAACATGTTTGTCTCTCTGCCTGCCTGTCTCTCTAACCTCTCTGTCTCTAACCTGTCTCTCTAACCTGTCTGTCTCTCTGCCTGTCTGTGTCTAACCTGTCTCTCTGCCTGTCTGTCTCTTACCTGTCTCTCTGCCTGTCTGTCTCTTACCTGTCTCTCTAACCTGTCTGTCTCTAACCTGTCTCTCTAACCTGTCTGTCTCTAACCCGTCTGTCTGTCTAACCTGTCTGTCTCTAACCTGTCTGGCTCTAACCTGTCTGGCTCTAACCCGTCTGTCTGTCTAACCTGTCTGTCTCTAACCTGTCTGTCTCTCTGCCTGTCTGTCTCTAACCTGTCTGTCTCTAACCTGTTTGTCTCTCTGCCTGTCTGTCTCTCTAACCTCTCTTTCTCTAACCTGTCTCTCTAACCTGTCTGTCTCTCTGCCTGTCTGTGTCTAACCTGTCTGTCTAACCTGTCTGTCTCTAACCTGTCTCTCTAACCTGTCTGTCTCTAACCCGTCTGTCTCTCTAACCTGTGTCTCTAACCTGTCTGTCTCTAACCCGTCTGTCTGTCTAACCTGTCTGTCTCTAACCTGTCTTTCTCTCTGCCTGTCTGGCTCTAAACCGTCTGTCTTTCTAACCTGTCTCTCCAACCTGTCTGTCTCTCTGCCTGTCTGTCTCTAACCTGTCTCTCTAACCTGTCTGTCTCTAACCTGTCTGTCTCTAACCTATCTGTCTCTCTTCCTGTCTGTCTCTAACCTGTCTCTCTAACCTGTCTGTCTGTCTCTAACCCGTCTGTCTGTCTAACCTGTCTGTCTCTAACCTGTCTGTCTCTCTGCCTGTCTGGCTCTAACCTGTCTGTCTCTAACCTGTTTGTCTCTCTGCCTGTCTGTCTCTCTAACCTCTCTGTCTCTAACCTGTCTCTCTAACCTGTCTGTCTCTCTGTCTGTCTGTGTCTAACCTGTCTGTCTCTCTAACCTGTCTGTCTCTCTGCCTGTCTGTCTCTAACCTGTCTCTCTAACCTGTCTCTCTAACCTGTCTGTCTCTCTGCCTGTCTGTCTCTTACCTGTCTCTCTAACCTGTCTGTCTTTCTGCCTGTCCGTCTCTAACCTGTCTCTCTAACCTGTCTGTCTCTAACCCGTCTGTCTGTCTAACCTGTCTGGCTCTAACCTGTCTGGCTCTAACCTGTCTGGCTCTAACCCGTCTGTCTGTCTAACCTGTCTGTCTCTAATCTGTCTGTCTCTCTGCCTGTCTGGCTCTAACCTGTCTGTCTCTAACCTGTTTGTCTCTCTGCCTGTCTGTCTCTCTAACCTCTCTGTCTCTAACCTGTCTCTCTAACCTGTCTGTGTCTAACCTGTCTGTCTAACCTGTCTCTCTAACCTGTCTCTCTAACCTGTCTGTCTCTCTGCCTGTCTGTCTCTTACCTGTCTCTCTAACCTGTCTGTCTCTCTGCCTGTCTGTCTCTAACCTGTCTCTCTAACCTGTCTGTCTCTAACCTGTCTGTCTGTCTAACCTGTGTCTCTAACCTGTCTGTCTCTCTGCCTGTCTGCCTCTAACCTGTCTCTCTAACATGTCTGTCTCTAACCTGTCTGTCTCTCTTCCTGTCTGTCTCTAACCTGTCTCTCTAACCTGTCTGTCTCTCTTCCTGTCTGTCTCTAACCTGTCTCTCTAACCTGTCTGTCTCTCTTCCTGTCTGTCTCTAACCTGTCTCTCTAACCTGTCTGTCTGTCTCTAACCTGTCTGTCTGTCTCACTCTCTCTCTCTGTCTGTCTTGTAGGATTTGTGCAGAGTAGTCGGCTAGTCTAGCGCAGTAATCGGCCCAGAGGACATCTCGCCACAGGAAGTGCTCTCGGCCAATCAGATGACAGACTGTCGATACGTGATGGAGGAAAACGTCCGATTGGTGACTGTGAAATCAATCAGAGATCACATATTAGACATGTCTCAAACACAGATCAGACCTGGGTTAATCTGGATTTACTGTGGATCCAGATTATGGATCCAGATGATCATGTTAATGTTTCATGAAACTGCCGAGTTTCATAATCGTATTCATTGATCAACATAAATCATTTATATGAAGAAAAGCTGATGTTCTGATAACTCGCACGTTTAAACCCAAAACGATGATTTTCTCTCTTTGTTCTCTTTAAACATTTGTTCTGATGTGAAACTGGGTTTCTGTGATCGATCAGTTTAGATGTTCTTCTGATTGACTTTAATCTAATGGTTATAAAAAACTTTATTGAAAAGAAAATGTGAAATGGTGGATGACCAACGAAAGCTTTCACTCACTGCGGTGATGTCACTGTGGTGTGGTCAAAACCTCTTGTGAGGTCACTCTGGAGAAACTGGAGTTAAACTAAGACTAAAGTTTAAAACGTTCAAACTGAGACTGAAGTTTAAAACATTTAAACTGAGACTAAAGTTTAAAATGTTGAAATAAAGACTAAAATATTAAAGACTGAAGTTTAAAACATTTAAATTTAAATTTTTATTTTAATAATTTAAACTGAAATTTAAAAAGTTTAAACTAAGACTGAAGTTTAAAACATTTAAATTAAAATGAAAATTGAAATAATTTAAACTGTAGTTTAAAAAATTTAAACTGAAGTCTAAAACACTTAAACTAAGACTGAAGTTTAAAAACATTTAAATTAAAATTGAAATAATTTAAACTGAAGTTTAAAAAGTGTAAACTAAGACTGAAGTTTAAAACATTTAAATTAAAATTAAAATTTAAATAATTTAAACTAAAGTTTAAAAAGTTTAAACTGAGACTGAAGTTTAAAATGTTGAAATAAAGACTAAAATTTAAAACAGTTGAACTAAGGCTGAAGTTTAAAACATTTAAATTAAAATGAAAATTGAAATAATTTAAACTGTAGTTTAAAAAATTTAAACTGAAGTCTAAAACATTTAAACTAAGACTGAAGTTTAAAACATTTAAATTAAAATGAAAATTGAAATAATTTAAACTGTAGTTTAAAAATTTAAACTGAAGTCTAAAACATTTAAACTAAGACTGAAGTTTAGAAACATTTAAATTAAAATTGAAATAATTTCAACGGAAGTTTAAAAAGTTTAAACTAAGACTGAAGTTTAAAACATTTAAATTAAAATTAAAATTTAAATAATTTAAACTGGAGTTTAAAAAGTGTAAACTAAGACTGAAGTTTAAAACATTTAAATTAAAATTTAAATAATTTAAACTAAAGTTTAAAAGTTTAAACTGAGACTGAAGTTTAAAATGTTGAAATAAAGACTAAAATTTAAAACAGTTGAACTAAGGCTGAAGTTTAAAACATTTAAATTAAAATGAAAATTGAAATAATTTAAACTGAAGTCTAAAACATTTAAACTAAGACTGAAGTTTAAAACGTTTAAACTTCACAGCCACGTCTGAACAGCGTGAACTCAACTGTAAATATTAACTGCAGCTGCACAGATGTAGCCCCGCCCCCTGCTAACCTGCTTATATTAGCCACGCCCATAGAGTAACCAGCCCGTATTATCCTCACCCCTGGGCCCGCCCCCTGCTTGTTGATCAATGATCATATTTTTGATTGATTGTGTGAAATGTGAAACTTTTTTATTTTATAGTGAGATATTGATCAGTTATTGATTTTTTAAAAATTATTACTTGAAGATGCTGATTGTGCTCTTTTCAATTTCCTGTGTGTTAAACTTTCAAAATAAAGTACAGTCTGACTCACTTGAGGCTGTTGGCTGTCTTCATTCAGCTCAGCTGTTTCCCTTTGTAACGTTTTATTTACGCAACCCCACCAAAGTAAAGGGACAGCAGCCACGGCCCCCCAGCCCCAGGAGGACACCAGACGCACCCTGCCCCTAGGACCCACCTACCGGCCTACCTTCAAAGACCACGTGAGGTCTTAGAAAGAAGCTCTCTCTCCACGGCCAAAACACAATACTATTCCACCCTCATTGGTAACCAGCAAAAGCGACCCAGAATGCTCTTCTCCACCATAAGCCAGCTGCCGCCTCCTACTCCTTGACCCTCTACCCAGCACTCACCGTCATGATGGCCCCCCCCCCCTCCGCTGAATGCCTCCCACAGCACTGCCTCTCCTCCTCCTCCTCCCCTCTGGACGTGGCTTAAGTCGTTAAGTTGGTTAGAGCTCCACCTGTTCCCTGGACCCCATGCCTACTGTCTTGGTCAAGGCGTGCCTCCCTAGCCTCTGTCCATCATAAACAAAAAAAAGAGCAGTCGCTGCCAAACTTCATCAACATGTGCCATGTTGCCTGGGGGCATCGACTTCTCCGGACGACTGTTTTCGCCCATCGCCGGTCTCCAGTAGAGAGGTCACTCTTAGTTACTTACCCTGGAGAACTCTTCCTGGTTACACCGTGACAACATTCGTCACCACGGCTGGATCTGAGAGGGAGAATCTGGCTTGGATTGATTCCATCAATAAACTGGAGAGACGTTCTATGTTTTCCTTGGTTCTGCTTGCAGCAAAGACTCAACATGGTGCTTTTATCGTTAGTCCTCGTATTATCTTTGACTAATAGCAGCGAGGTGTTCACAGAAATGCTGAACATGATAAGCTTTCCCCACATTCCCAGAAATATCTGGGCACCATCTGGGACTTTGGCCCTATGGACATCAAACTCAGCTGGAATCCACAGACTATTGGTGACTACAGAACTTGATATTTATCTGATCTTGTTAAGTTGTACTTGGTCTGCATGATTGGTTTCAGTGTTTATCTTTTTATCTTCCTTCTAGACCAATTCAATTCAATTCAATTCAATTTTATTTATATAGCGCCAAATCACAACAACAGTTATCTCACAGCGCTTTTCATAAAAGAGCAGGTCTAGACCGTACTCTGTGATGATATTTACAGAAGCCCAACAGTTCCCACCAAGAGCAAGCACTAGGCGACAGAGGCAAGGAAAAACTTCCTTTTAAGAGGCAGAAACCTCGAGCAGAACCATGGCTCAGGGTGGGCGGCCATCTGCCTCGACCGGTTGGGGTGAGAGAGAGAGAGAGAGAGAGAGAAAGAGAGAGAGAAAGAGAGTGAAAGAGAGAGAGAGAGAGAGAGAGAGAGAGAGAGAGAGAGAGGGATGTAAGGAGAGAGAGAGGGGAGGGAGGCAGCCTACACAATATACACACAGAGGTACAGACAGCGAAGGTAATGTTGCTATAAACTAAATGAAAATGGTACAGATATTTACAATAGTGTTAATGGTAACCATCGTAATGTTAATGATTATAATAACAATAAGACTAGCAACAATAGTCGTTGCAGTAGAGGGTGTCGAGCAGGAACACGGGGGCAGCAGGCGACCCGCAGCCACAGATCCAGACTCCACAGCTCCAGAGCCAGAAAACCTGCAGGAAGTGATAGGAGGAGAGAGGAGAGGGACGAGAAAGCACAAGACTACCAGAAAGGGGAGAAGTTGTGTTAGTAACATGCAATAATGGGATAAGGTTGCATACAGAGGGAGAGAAAGTAGAGGAGAGAGGAGCTCAGTGCATCATGGGAAATCCCCCGGCAGTCTAGGCCTATAGCAGCATAACTAAGGGATGGTTCAGGACTACCTGAGCCAGCCCTAACTATAAGCTTTATCAAAGAGGAAAGTCTTAAGCCTACTCTTAAATGTGGAGATGGTGTCTGCCTCCTGAACCCAAACTGGAACCTGGTTCCACAGGAGAGGAGCTTGATAGCTGAACGCTCTGGCTCCTAGTCTACTTTTGGAGACTCTAGGAACCACAAGTAACCCTGCATTCTGGGAGCGCAGTGCTCTGGTGGGGTAGTAAGGTACTATGAGCTCTTTAAGATAAGATGGTGCCTGACCATTAAGAGCTTTGTAGGTAAGAAGAATGATTTTAAATTCTATTCTGGATTTTACTGGAAGCCAATGCAAAGAAGCTAAAACAGGAGAAATGTGATCTCTTTTCCTGGTTCCTGTCAGAACACGTGCTGCAGCATTCTGGATCAGCTGAAGAGTCTTAAGAGTAAGAGTCTTAACGGACTTTTTCGAGCAGCCTGATAATAAGGAATTGCAGTAATCCAGCCTAGAAGTAACAAATGCATGGACTAGTTTTTCTGCATCATTTTTAGACAGGATGTTCCTGATTTTCGCAATATTACGTAGGTGAAAAAAGGCGGTCCTTGAAATTTGCTTAATGTGGGACTTAAACGACATGTCCTGATCAAAGATAACTCCAAGATTCCTCACAGTGGTGCTGGAGGCCAAGGCGATGCCATCCAGGGAAACTATATCTTTAGATAATGCGTCACGGAGGTGCTTAGGCCCCAGAACAATAACTTCAGTTTTATCTGAGTTTAACATAAGAAAATTACAGCTCATCCAGGTTTTAACATCCTGAAGGCACATTTGAAGTTTAGCTAACTGATGAGTTTCATCTGGCTTGATCGATAGATATAACTGAGTATCATCTGCATAACAATGAAAGCTTATGGAATGTTTCCTGATAATATTGCCTAAAGGAAGCATATATAAAGTGAAGAGGATTGGTCCAAGGACAGATCCTTGAGGAACTCCATGAGTAACTTTGGCGTGCATGGAGGACTCATCGTTAACATGTACAAACTGAAATCGATCTGATAAATAGGACTTAAACCAGCTTAGAGCGGTTCCTTTAATGCCAATGAAATATTCCAGTCTCTGCAATAGGATCTGATGGTCAATGGTATCAAATGCAGCACTAAGATCTAATAAAACCAGTACAGAGACAAGTCCTTTGTCTGATGCAATAAGGAGGTCATTAGTAATTTTCACCAGTGCTGTCTCTGTGCTATGATGAGCTCTAAATCCTGACTGAAAATCCTCAAATAAACTATTGCTCTGTAGAAAGTCACACAGCTGTTTAGCAACTGCTTTCTCCAGAACCTTAGAGAGAAATGGAAGGTTAGATATAGGTCTATAGTTTGATAAAACATCCGGATCAAGTTTGGGCTTTGTCAGAAGAGGTTTAATTACAGCTACTTTAAAGTACTGTGGTACATAGCCTGTTGATAAAGATAGATTGATCATATCTAGTATAGAGGTGCTGACTAAGGGTAAAACATCTTTAAGCAGCCTAGTCGGGATGGGGTCTAAGAGGCAGGTTGATGGTTTAGATGAAGAAATTATTGAAGTTAGTTGGTAAAGATTGAGGGAAGCAAAACAGTCTAAACATGTATCTGGTTCTACAGCTGTTTCTAAGGTTCCTGAGTTTAGAGATAAGTCGGTGCCAGTTGAGGGCAGGTCTTGGTGAATTTTGTCTCTAATAGCTAGAATTTTATCATTAAAGAAGCTCATGAAGTCGTAACTACTGAGAGCTATGGGAATACTTGGCTCAATAGAGCTGTGACTCTCTGTCAGCCTGGCTACAGTGCTGAAAAGAAACCTGGGGTTGTTCCTATTTTCCTCTATTAATGACGAGTAGTACGCTGCTCTGGCATTACGGAGGGCCTTCCTATAAGTTTTAAGACTATCTTGCCAAATTAAAC